CCCCCCCTTCCACCTCGGGCTAGCGATGTATGTGGTAGTCGATTACTTGCCCCCCTCCCTCTCTCTTCACCAGAGGTAGCAAGTGGGGGGAAGCAGGAACCACTGCTGGGAGGAGCCGACTAAACTGATTCTCCTCAGCACCGTCTCCACGGTGATGCCTGTCCCCTCCCACAGCGCTGCCACTTCTATCAACAGCCAGCAGTGTGGGGGTGGCAGAGGAGGAGGAGGAGGCTGCTCAAACCAGCCCGTCAGCAGCAGCCTGGGCTGGTTGAGGCTACTTTGGCAACAGCCCCTGACCGTGGGGGGAGGGGGGAGACTTGGTATGACCCCCCTCCCCATCCCCTGTAGACGGGCTGCTGGACCTAGTGCATGCCGGGACTGAGCAATCCTGGGTCAGTCCCAGCCCATGCCAGGTCCGGGAATTACCCCTGCTGCACGGCTGCAGTTTAAATGTAGTAGGAGCCAGGCTATCTGTGCCCCCGGCTTTTACCACATTTGAACTGCAGAGGTGCAGTGGGGGTAGCTCCTGGACCTGGTGTGAGCTGGGACTGACCCAGGATTGCTCAGTGCCTACACAGTTAGTGGATTACCCGCCTCTTAACATCCTGACCTCAGGCCCACCCCTTCCAGGAGCATGGAGCTGGACTCCCCCCCTCCCCCCATACCCACACCCACACCTTGCCCAGTGGCCTGGGGAGGCTGTTGGCTTCCCTCGCTATCCTTTACTTGCCAAGTACTCAGAAGTCTCCTTTCACGTTAGTAAATTCCTGATTTCCAACTTCATTCCCTGAACAAGAATGGCAGAATTGTCTAATTCTTGGTTACATATCTCCTGTGGTATCTGCCTTGATAGCTGGTGCTGTAAGGACTCAAATCAAGGGGCCTCCTTCAGGTTAAGTTACTCTGCGATGGAAGTGTTGTGGAATTCACTGTGATTGGGGTATTTGTGTCAGATGCCATTTACATACACCTTAGTAATTTGTTAGAGTAATCCGTCTTCAGAGCGTACTACTAGCTCCAGCCAGCCTGGGGTTGGGAGGCATGAGTGTGCTGTAGCGTGAATATTGAGCATCTGCCACTTTTGGCTGTCTCAAAAGGGCATAGTTTGCAATGTGAGAACTTGGGCGGTGGGAAGGAGGAGAGGTGACACAGAATAAAGCCCCCTTCAGCTCTATGGGCTGGTTTTCCTCCTCTGTCAAACTCCTGCCACAGAGTGCAATATGCCTTCAGTCGGGCCTGTGCTTGGATCTGGGCACTGTGGAGTCACCAAGGCAGATAAGCCTTTATTGTACATCTTTCTCTGCTGTTCATGTCTCCCTCACCCACTCCTCTTATGTGGTCTTTTTACAGAATGTGTCCTTCCCTAAGCAATATGTGCTAATGGCAGATGGCAGCTGATAATTACAGCCTGCCTCTTGCTGAATTTTTCAGTATTCCTGTTCCTTTCTGAAAGTTTTTTTTATGTTAATGTTGGCTAACAATTCAGTCTGCTGTGGTCTAGTACAAGTGTTCTGTGGCAGGAAAGTGCCCTGAAGTATTGCTTAGTGACCCTGCAGTGGGCCAGTGCCAATCCATCTCCTGATACTACCCTACAAAAATCATAGAGGTGTATTATGGCCTCTTTTTAGAGAGCATGAGAAGTGTGCTTGGGGCTGGCTGTTTGGGTGGTTTTTTGCTAGTGGGTGGTGGTGGTGGTTTTTGGTTTGCATAATGACAGATGAGAAATCCCTCTGGTGAATTCACATGCTTCAGTCTCAGAGTAAAATCTTTTCAATTGTTCACCACTTCCATTCAGTGACTTGTGTTCGTTTTCTGTCACTTGCCATGGCTTTGTGACGGTGTTTAGTCTCTTAGACCCAAATCCTTTCTTGATAGCTTTTACATTGCAAATCAGGCTGTAGCCAGCTTTGCTACCTTGCCTTAAAATCTTGATCGATATGTTAATCTGGGTCAATTTGGGACACTGATGTCCCAATTGCAGCCCGTAGTTTCACAATGGGGACCAAAACAAAACTCTGCTGGTCTTTGTTATATATGTCTATGGTGATGTAAAGGACTTTTTGGCATGTGAGGAGTCTGAGCTGGGGGGCTTATGAAGGCAGGAGTTAGGGAAAAGGGGTTGTGATGTGAATCGTGTAAAGGTGTTGCTTTGTCATGCTTCTTACAGGTCTCTCTAGAACAGACGGTTCCTCCCACCCTAGATGGCAACATGTCATTCAGCACAGGCCAGTCAGCTGATAGGGGCAGCACTCTGCCTCTTGGAAGCTCCCAGAATGTAGCAGACCAGGGATATGCCACAGCTGGCTCCATGGAGAACAGGTGAGAACACAGCAGTTCTGTAATATGTTCAGTACATTCCTCTTGCTGATAACAGGGGCAGGGGGCACTTAGCAGAGGAAGGCACGTGCCACGTGAAGGCTGTATTCCATGACTTAGATGGAGAATGCAATCCTTGAATAGTGGCCTTAAAGACCAGCCTTATAATCCAGTTGTCTAGGATTGACTGGGTATGAACCTGATTTCCCTCGTACCAGTTAGTCTGCTCCTTCTAGTAATTTCTTATGGTCTATTAGTGGAGCGCTCTAAGGAAGCCAGAATTTGATTGGACATAGAAATCAATGTCTGCTCTCCTCTGTAGGGACAGGGGACCCTGCGGCCTATATTTGTATCAAGAGAGTTATTGAAATCCAAGGGTTCCCATCCGGTGGTGAAACACTGGGGGAAGAGGGATTAAAAATAAACTACCTGTTTCCCATCTTAGTATCTTTCCAGTGGCATGCTTTGAATTGCTTCTGAGCTCCAGTGCATGCAAATAGAGTTTGTCTAGCATGAGTAAATACAGTGCAAAAATGTGCACTGTTCTTCTTTAGTCATCTCTATTTATCCCTTAAAGGTAACTATCTCCTCCTCCTTTGCTCCATGCCACACTAAGGAGGTTTCCCAAGGAGAAAGTTGCATGTTTGGACTCTCCTCTCTTTTGCAAATGGTTGGTACATGTACCAAGAACAGAAGATAAAACCTGGAACAACTGTTGCCTGTGTAGAGAAGAAATTGCAGCTCTCCTAAAGATTGCAAAACTAGACTGGCAGCTGCAGTGGCTGTTAAACGCACCTTCTGTTTACTTTCCAGCTCCCAGCAGTCTTCTGCAAGCTCCCTGACTTCTTCCTCCACACTGATTGACATTCTTGAGGCCATGAAGCACCCCACGTAAGTTTTGAATCCCAACACCCCTAAAATCTCAGTGTGTGGATTTGGAAGCAGAATTTGATGAGTGAGCTCCCAATGGAAGAGTTTCACGGTCTATGGAATAGCTTTATTTTTTGGGCAGTCTGTGTTGTTCAATTCTAGCCTCTCTCAGCAGGAGTCACTGCAGAAATTAGGGTACAGAATGTGGCTATGTAGACCTCAGATGCTACAGTCCCCACCCACCCTAAGCAGGAGTCACTGTAAAGGGAGTAATTTAGGGGCATTCTCCATGGCAAAGTACAAACGTCTGCAGTCTCAGAGGCTGATGGCTTTCTAGCTACTGAGAATTTCAGATTTTTCATTCTGGGTCTTTCTCTTCTGCAGTTCTAAAGTTTTTTTTTGTCCTTCTGTGTGACTTCAGTTCATGTTAATTATATGCTTGTGTTGGGATTCAGTACAGGGATCCAGCTGCTCTCTGAACAGAAGGGCCTCTCTCCATATTGCTTCATCAGCGCTGAGGTAGTCCACTGGCTGGTAAATAACCTGGAAGGTGTGCAAACCCAGGCTATGGCCATTGACATCATGCAGGTGAGAGAACTGACAAGAGGGCACATGGATGGGCCAGAAATGCCCCATTCCATGGAGAAAGCATGTCTCTTAGGACACTGTAGCATAAATCAATATCTCTCTCTCTCTCTCTCTCTCTCTCTCTCACACACACACACACACACACACACACACACACACACACACACACACACACACACACACACACACACACACACACACACTGAAAATCCTCTTATTAAAATGTACCATGTATACAGGGAAACCTGACCTTTTCTCACCACTTATACTTCTCTTTCCACCAAGAAGTGTTAGCTTGAAATGGGGATTGCAGTAAATACACAGCAATGTTTGTTGTGTAAGTCAGATACTGGCTTGGAAAAATACTTGCTTCCATGGTTTGATTTTTAGATGTGCGTTCACAGAATCCTATGATGATGTGCAGTAGGTATGTGGCGTTATTTTCCCTGTTGCATGAGGGTGGTAGCCTCACACTGACTGCCGGTTACCAAATCACATTAGGGGTTGTGTTTTGAGGCTCAGAAATGCACTAGAATTCGCTGCTGCTGAGATACCACAGCAGCTAGCCCAGAGGATCTTCCTTTTGAGCCCAGAAGCCGTATGATGGCTCCTTGCAACACCTTGAAAACCCATCTACAAGACAAAAAGGCACATAAAGGTAAGCCAGGTCTACAGTGGGGGAGCAATTTGATTTAAAATATGCAACTTCCGCTGCAAGAATAGCGTAGCTGGATTTGAAGTATCTTAAATGGAAATTCTTTGGCTGCCCCACTGTGGGAGCTTGAATGGGAGACACTCTCCCGCCAACTTCCCTTTCTCCTCACAACCCAGTGGAGTACAGTTCGACACGGGGGGCACCTTCGGTGGGTCTGTACCAGACCCACTAAATCAAACCTCAGCAGAATCAATATCCAGAGTGTGTCTCCCCGGGTAGGTATAGACAAGCCCAAAGAGGGCATTTGCTGGAGGTGGTAGGTGGAATGGAAGGAGGCTATTTAGCCAAGGACTTTAAAGGGGAAAAATAAAATTTCTCTGGAAGATGAGGACTTCTGACCCTATTGACAACTAGCCTGCAAGGGTTTTGGCACATCTTAGGGAAGCACTGCTGCGGTTCTCATCTTTACCAATTGGACCTTTTGCTGTCTTCAGAGGAAAGACTCACTTTCTTAATATCTTCCCATTCCCATCCCAGAGCCCTGGTTCACCATGGAAAGCTGCTTTTTATTTGTTTTGTCTTTAGAAAATGCTGGATGAGCAGCTGATTGTTCATGCATCTGGAGAGGCCTTGCGCACGTTCATATATGGGTTTTACTTCTACAAAATTGTCGTTGATAAGGATCCAGAACGAGGTCAGACTTTTTTTTATGTCACTATAGAGATTTTTCCCAATTTGCTCCTTGGTGTCATCCTTGAATGTTGAGGAGTTGTTGCAGGTGTGGCAGTAGAAGTGCATCTTGAGAAGGGATTTGAAAGAGTAGCACCCTTATATAAATGTTGCTAGCAGGAGGGATATCTTGTACAGGCATCCAAAGAGATGCTCTAGCCTCTGTGAATTTAACACCAAAAATTAAAGGGTAATTTAAGGATAGATGGACAACTCAACCATTCCCTGCCCCCACCCACACATACCCTCTAGAAAAGAGCCCTGAAATGTCCTTGAACTGTTGAGTCATAGGATGTAAATCGGAGGGCAAATGTGTGATTTCCGTCTTCCTCTGAACCCAGGCTCTAGAAATACAGGCAGCATAATGGGAACCTTGTGTCCTAAGAGATCCTTGTTCTTAACATAAGAACATACCCAGAGAGGGTGGACTGAAGACAATGATCAAGCGATTTGTCTCCTGCCATCCCTCTCCAGCCTCTGACAAACAGAGGCCAAGGACACCATTTTATCCCCTGGCTAATAGCCTTTTATGGACCTAACCTCCATGAAATTATCTAGCTTCTCTTTAAACTCTATTATAGTCCTAGCCTTCACAGCCTCCTCTGGCAAGGAGTTCCACAGGTTGACTACACGCTGTGTGAAGAAGAACTTTCTTTTATTAGTTTTAAACCTGCTACCCATTAATTTCATTTGGTGTCCTCTAGTTCTTCTATTATGGGAACTAATAAATAACTTTTCTTTATCAGCCCTCTCCACACCACTCATGATTTTATAGACCTCTATCATATCCCCCCTCAGTCTCCTCTTTTCTAAACTGAAAAGTCCCAGTCTCTTTAGCCTCTCTTCATATGGGACCCGTTCCAAACCCCTAATCATTTTAGTTGCTCTTTTCTTAACCCTTTTCAAGGCCCAAATATCTTTTTTGAGGTGAGGAGACCACATCTGTACACAGTATTCAAGATGTGGGCGTACCATAGTTTTATACAGGGGCAGTAAGATATTCTGGGTCTTATTTTCTATCCCTTTCCTAATAATTCCTAGCATCCTATTTGCCTTTTTGACCGCCGCTGCACACTGTGTGGAAGTTTTCAGAGAACTGTCCACGATAACTCCAAGATCTTTCCTGATTTGTTGTAGCCAAATTAGCCCCCATCATACTGTACGTATAGTTGGGGTTATTTTTCCCGATGTGCATTACTTTACACTTATCCACATGAAATTTCATTTGCCATTTTGTTGCCCAATCACTCAGTTTGGTGAGATCTTCTTGGAGTCCCTCACAGTCTGCTGACCATTGTTTCTCTTGCCTTTGTCCAGTGGGTATGCAGCAGCCCACCATGTGGCACACAACAGCAATGGACGACTTCTCCACTTTCCAGAGGAAATGGTTCGAGGTGGCATTTGTGGCAGAAGAGCTCTTACATTCAGAAATCCCAGCGTTCCTCCTGCCCTGGCTTCCCAGCCGCCCAGCCTCTTATGCAAGTAGGCACAGTTCCTTTAGCCGCAGTTTCGGAGGACGGAGCCAGGCAGCCGCACTATTAGGTAGATGCGGAGCACAGATGACATCTGGTGAAGTACAAGGGAGTAATTTGAAGGGGAGTAGCAGCCAGCCAAGGGAATGATCTCACGTGGACCTGTCACAGGCTGCAGATCTCATGCTGGCCATATGTTTGTCATGCAGGCTGTCTCACTGTCTTGTCTCTGGGATGGGTTTCACTGGCTGAGAGGAACAATCTGCGCTCGTTACCTGAAAGCAAAAAAAGTAAAATATTCTCACCCTCCTCAAACTCCTTGGGAGTTTGAGGAGGAGATAACACTCGTCTCCTATCTCCATGTAGAGCCGGTGGGTCTTTTCACAACCAGAGGATGGAGTTCAGTCCTTGGTGGTACACCGGGCAATGACAAGTAAGGTCAACAGAGCACCAAAATTTCACTTAACTTTGTCCACTCTTCCTCAGCAAGTGTGTGCCAGTGGCAGAAACCCTGGTGATATCCTTGTGAGAGCCGAGTGGGGTGTAGGAGAGTCCTCTTCACTGGGACACTTGGAGACTGGTGGTATCAGTCTAGGTTGAAATCCTAAGCAATGGGGGAGAACTCCAGGTCAGACACTGAGGACCACAATTACAGCAGTGCGAAGGAAACTGAGTTTTGAATCTGGAACATTTAGGACCTGGAATGGGGGTAGATATCATTATCCCACCTAGAAATCTCCTTCCAGTGTTAACCACTTCTCACCGGAGTGCCAGAGAGACCTCTCAGTGTGTTTTCTACCCCTAGCAGCCAGTGAAACTCGCTGTCCTACTATGTGCTTTGTTGTCATCTTGTTGCATTTCCAGGCCAGCTTGAGTCCTTGCTCCTGCCATATGCTATATGTTCCCTGTAAAACATGCCAGAAACTTCATTGCCGTCACTTCAGGTTTATAAGATGTATCTTATAAAATCCCATCTAATTTAAAAGGAAAGAGAATCCCCAATGCATGTATGTGTAACTCTTCTGAAGAGAGGTGGCGTAATCCTTCTTCTAGTAGAGTAACAGTGTCTTCTAGAGCTGAGGTATGGCAATCTGTATTTTTGAAAGCTATGCTCAGAGGAACAGCATAATGTATAGAAAAGTGAGGGGAGAGGCCTAAAACAATAAGCTAACAATTCTGTGATCTCAAGCCAACATGTGATCTGGAGGCTTTTTACCTACTACACATTAAAGCAATCATATTGGCCAGTACAAAACCTTATTGGCATAATTCATGTGCTAGGTGAACCAGAGCCCAGCCTGCTGTCCAGCTAACATGTGGTTCAGGGAACAGAGGCTCAGGAGACCTAGGTTCTGCTCACAACTCTGATTCGCCATGCAGCTTTGGTAAACCACTTCACTTCTCTGTTCCTCAGTTTTCCCCATCATAAAATGGGGATAACGATTCAGAACCAGTTTTGCTGTGCTAGGATGAAAAGTGTCTCTCTACTGCTGCTATTGTTCATTATGATTCTAAAAGATAATTGGGCTATTTCCTACAGTTAACAAGATGGTGTTACCTGTTCTTAGAGGGAAACAAGTTTATATACCACTTCTGTGCTGTTCCTCCTCTAGACACCCTCTCCAAAAGCATTACCAGTACATCTGAGGCAGGAAGCTTCACTAACCCCAATGGTATCCGGTCCACGTGACTTCATTTGTTCCTGTCTTGGCTTTGGCTGCATTTGATTACTTCCCCCTCCTTCTACCTTCCCTAAATGTCAGCCTGTGATACAAAATAGCATGCAAGTGTTGGGAGCTCTGGAACAAGCTCCATGTATCCCTAAAATCCTTATTCTTGCCAACTTCCCTATCACTTGCCTGATTGTCACTTTCCCTTCCCAATGGAAATCTGATCTGTGATCTACCTAACCTTGTCCCTTTTGATTTATAGCCATGCATGCACTAGTAATTATAGCCATGTACGTAGTTAGTCTGTGGTGGGAGAATAACCTGTCTGCTCCTCTCCAGTGTACACTGTAACTCGTTAGTTGTTACCGGTCCAAGACCCAGTTGGGAAGCGGGTGAGTTCTCTTAACGTCAGCCAGCCGTGTGGAAAGCCAGATGCCTTATACCTTCAGATTAGGACCACGTTGTAAGAATGCGTCTCCTGAATGTAGATAGGCTGAAGATGCTAATCCAGCGGTAGTGTGGAAGTTGTGGGATTGTCAGAGGCATTCCTATGGACATCTGCCTACAGTTGTTAGGTTTGTGAGTAGGGGCTTGGGGTAACTTAGAGTGAGACTGTTAGGAGTCGTGATGGAAACCTGTGTTACCAGTGACTGGGAGGAGGAACAATTTAGTAAGGGAGCAGGGATTTCAGTCTTCAGCTTGTGCTAACTTATACAGATTGGCAGGTGTATTGTGGTTGTCTCTGGCGGCTGAGCTGGCAGATGGCCCCTGCCAGCCTCACTGATTGAGCTGCTTCTACTTTGCCCCCTATTGTAGGGCTGGGGAACCTTTTCTGTGTCAGGGGCCACAGAAAAATATGCCGGAGGCTGCACACAAGTGAGAAGCAAACCAACGAACCCTCATTGACTTGGCCCCTGACTGAGAGGGAGAAAGACCCTCCCCACGTTCCCATCATACACCAGAGCCTAAGGGGGGGCCCAGCCTCGTAGATTCTGTGTGCTCCAGCCCCGAGGTGGAGCGGTGGGGATGGGGCGGGGGGCT